GCCCTGCGTCTCGTCGTTGCGAGCTGGTGACACGGGACGAGGGGAGGACGGAGTGCCCGGCCGGTCCCGCTGCTGCCCGGCGCCTGTCCCGGCCCGCAGCTCCCCCCGTGGCAGCCGCCGGCACAAGCCCGACTTTCGTGCTGGCCGCGCAGCCTGGCCCCGTCCTCCTGCCCCTTCTGACGACCGTCTGGACACCGGCTCCCCGCCCAGCTGTCCTGGGACAGCCACGGAGGTGCAGGGCCGGCCCGGTGTTCTCCAGGTCGCCGACACGGCGGAGCTGCTCGTCTTCATGCGGGGTCGCCGGGGGCCGGGGCTTTGGTGCACACTCTTCCCGGCGACCTGACGGATTTCTGCAGGAGTCCCTTTTGTCACTTTCTCTGAAATGCGCCTTTTCCTCTGAGACCGCCACACTGCTGTCAGCTGGACTGAAACTGAGACCTGCTTACTCACCTCGTTTACATTTTCCTGTGAAAATGGCTGGAAAGCCCTCCTCCCCCGGAACGCTCCAGCACGCGTGGCTTCTTGATTTTTTTCACATGTAAACAGTGTTTTACGGAAACTTGAAATAACACATTTTTTTGGTGACTAGTTTTACAACATGTATCATACATCTGGGACTTACATGGGGCGTATTCGATCAACATTAGTTTTTATACAGAACCAGATATTTTCCAAAACACCAACATTTTTAACCCTTTTTTTTTTTTTTCCGATTTTAAATGTTAAAAGTCCTCATTGCATAAAAGAGCCAAAGGATCTGCAAGTTTGGTAGAAATTCAAAGAGAAGTTGGAAAACGCATGTTACTAAATTTAGAATAAATATACCATTTTCGAAGTAGAATCGATGAAAGTCCATTCCTTCCACTAAATTGCCCAGAGCTTCGGGTTCGAAAGCAGTAAGGCCTGGGTCACAGATTTTCCTGTAGAACAAAAAATAATGAAAGTAATCAATAAGTAATAATATTACAATAATCAATATTAATGAAAATAATCAATAACCAATAAGGGTTAGGAGTTAACGTGCTTTGTTGTTTTACATCCACCCATTCTGATCTACCAAACGGCCAGTGAAGAAAGAGTCTCTAAGGAAACATGACGTTTCTATGGCAGGCCTGGGCCAGGCGGGCGGAGGGGCAGACTCTAAAACACATTTTACAGAGAAGCTGAGGGGCGAGGTGGCACCGCCAGCTCCTGCAGAGGACACTGTGCCCACCGCAGGGGTCCCCTTTTAAACGTTCTTATGTTTTTATTTCCAAGGTGAATTCTCTAAACTTTCCGCAATTTTTAAAATGCTGTCCAAGTCCAAGGCACTCTGAGAGCCAACTTCCGCCCTAAAACTAAATACTTTGACGCCTTCTGTATCCATGACAAACATCTAAACTGTGACTGATTTGAAAGCAGGTGTCACATCCTACACTTCCTGGCAATGTTCACAAGTTAATAACTGATGCACGAAGCGGAACTTGGCATGTGTGTGTGAGTCTGAACAGGTGTCTCAGAGCTGGCCCAGGACCCTCCCCGTCTAGAAGGCTCCCTCTGGCAGGTCCTGCCGGGCGTCCCTGGGCCCCAGTGCACAAAACTGGCACAGACCGGGGCCGCCACAGGCAAGGGCGAGCGAGCTGAGGTGGGCAGGGACTGCACTATTCACGTCGCCCCACTCTAAGTTCAGAGTGCAGGAGCTGCTGTGCTTCACCGCCACCCAGACCCACCTTCACCATTCCATAGGGAACGCCATCGGAAGATTAAAACCCACACACTGTCTCACAGGCTGCCAGAATCACAGGGGGCTAACATGGTTTCACCAGCAAAGAGGGCAAAGGGAGCAGGTGCTGTAGCTGGACCACGCCCTCTGCCCGCGCGTGCTCTGTGGTCCCCTCCCACCACGCTGGGCGATGGCGCTACAGAACCAGGGCACGTGTGTGCACACACGCAGTCACGCACACACGCAGTCGCGCACACTCAGCCACACATACGCACATGCACACACTCAAATGCGTGCACACATGCAGTCATGCGCACACACAGTGCACACTCAAACATGTGTGCAGTCACATACACACAAACACGTGTGCAGTCACAAACACACGTGTACACACCGAGCCATGCATACACACGTGCATGCACACTTGCACACACACACAGTCATGCAACACGTGTCCACAAACATGCACACACACACAAAGTCACACACATACACGGTGCACGCAAACGTATGCGCACAGCCACACAATACGCATGCGTGCACGAACACATGTGCAGCCACACACACACACAAACGTGTGTACACAGTCATGCATACACACGTGTGCACACATACTTGCACATGTGCAGTCACACAAGTGCACTTACTAACATGCAGTGTGCGTGCACACATGCACACGCAAACATGTGCAGTCACGCACACATGTGCACACAAATACACTCGAGCACACTCAAACACGTGTGCAGTCATGCACGTGTGCACACATACACTCATGAGCACACACTCAAACACGTGCGCAGTCACGCACACATGTGCACACACATACACTCATGAGCACACACACTCAAACACGTGTGCAATCACACAGGTGCACACACACATACACTCATGAGCACACACACTCAAACACGTGCGCAGTCACGCACACATGCACACACATACACTCATGAGCTCCCTGGCCGTTCCTGTCCGTCCGTGCAGGCAGTCAGGTCCCTTCCTGTGCCCGTCTACTCCCCACCTCATCCACTCCTGTGTGCAGCTGCCCGCCCATCAGTTTAACCCGTGAGCAGCGGTCCTGGACCTGACTTAGTTCTGACGTCTATCTGTGCTGACGCGGAACGCAACGCCTCCTTATTCTACAAAGTTGGAAATGAAGCCAGAAAAACCACAATTTCACCTCCCAAGGGCATCATCTCTTTTTCCTTTCCAAAGCCAATGTGGCACTTCATCCGTTTTCATGCCTGTTCTCTCACAGTGGAACCGTGTGCGCACAGCCCGCACCCCACTGTCTTCGGGGAGCCCTGCGGGCGTCTGCCGGCCGCTGGAGCCCCTGCGGGCCCACGCCCGCCCTGACACTGGCACAGTTTGTCACCGCACGAACGCCGATTCCACAGACACCTTTGTGCATGATGCTTGTCCGTGATTCAGCTTCTGGGTCCATCCCAGGTTGAAGTTTTATGTAGAATCACAGGATTAAAGTGAGATCCACCTGCAGAAACACCCTCTAGTACATAACGCCCAACCGTCCCTGATGCCGGCCACCGCGGCCGCCCTAAAGGGCTAGCCCGTCTCTGCCCCGTCCGGGGGACCAGGTGGCCCCGTCACGGTGTCACCCTACAGGAAATGCAGCCACAGCCACACTGCTGTGGACCCGACGGTGGGCATGGACACGATTTATGGCTCCCTGGCCATTCCTGTCCCTCCGTGCGGGCAGCCAGGTCCCGTCCTGTGCCCATCTACTTCCCACCTCATCCACTCCGTGCAGAGTCACTTCTGACGTGTTTTACACCATTTTCCTATTTATTGTTTGCCTCTTAGTTTTATTTTGGTTTTTAGAAACTATACAAGTTTTACATATTTTAGTTTTACTGGCTTTTAGAAACTATACAAGCCTAATTTTTTGTCTTCTTGTTTGTGACGACTTCTCCTGCTTTTAGCCTTACAAAGATCCTTCCGACCAGAGATCAGAAGCCAACTCTTTTTTGCGTTTACCTCTTTCTCAGTTGACGGTACAAAGGAAAGGCTGAGGCTGATTATTTGTTCCCAAAGAGCCAACTTACTGAGTCTCAAACTCTGTGCAATAAGCTCATGTCCTACTTATTTGAATGCTTTACTTTTACTTGATAGAAGTGATTTCCTTTATACACCCGACATCCTAGTTTACAAACTCAAAATTCGGTGTAAAACCCCTTTCTTCAAATACAATTTTACCTATGAGGCAAAACAAACTCAGAAAGGCGACAATGCGTGAGCTGAGCAGGCTGCAGGGGGCAGACGCAGCCCTAACCGCTCCCTCCCAGAACTGCGCGGGGACGCTGCGTAAGCCGCACGCCCCGCAGGCTGCATCCCTGTCCCGCGTCCTCGCCATGCGCACCTTCTCTGTGGGCAGTGGGTGGGGCGGAGCGTCCGACACCGGCAAAGGAGCCGTGTGCCACCACCAGCTCCTCATGCCGAAACCTGAAGCTTGTCCCTCTCTCTCTGGGGCCACTGGACCCCTTTGCAGCTTGAAACAAAGCTACTGCTACCACGTCGCATGTGGGGTCCACATGCTGGGGACGATAGCCCGAAGGTGTCCGTACTCACGTGTATGCCTCGAAGTCCCCGTTGTTGATGGCTTCGATCAGCTGCTCCGTGACTTTGATGATTTCCTGCTTCCGTGCTAGGGACAAGGACAGAGTTGGTGAGGACGGGGCCGGGGCCAGTGGGGCCCTCCCTCACACAGGGCACAGCCAGCGGATGCCCCTCTGCCACCCCGCTGCCCCAAGCACAGGGCTTGGGGTCTGGCTCCGCTGAGCCCGTGGGAAGCCTCCTTGGCCGCTGCTGGCCACATACTCGGGGCCCGCAGGTGTCCTGAGACCTGACGCTCGGGATGAGGGACACAGCCGCCTGCCGCTTGCTGGAGAGTGACAGGGTCTGGGAAGCCCAGGCTGCGTTTTTAACGGTTCTCATCGCCTCTAGTACTGACTTCCTCTGAGCATTTGTACTTTTTTACTGTTTGGCTCTGGCAGCTCTACGAGGAGCTCACCCGGCGGCTGCCAGCGTGCGGGTGTGTGGCCCTCAGTGACCGTCCACGCAATCCGTGTGGGGGGCGTGGGCAGCTTCGCAGAAGGAAGGCCCGCAGAGCTGCCACTCGGCATGGCAGGTGCGGCCAGGGGCAGGACGCGGCTGCAGCCCATG